CATGTGATTAACTCAGAATATTTCTTAAAACCTTTTTCACGGTATTGTTGTTGTAGCACCACATTTGAAGCGTGAAAAGTAGAAAATATTTTTTCCAATAAGTCCTCATCTGTGATAGTGTCTCCACATAATTTTAATAGAGAACTTACTTTAAAGATAATAGAATTATACTCACTTATGGTTTTAAAGTCTTGCAACCTTAAATGTATCCACTTATACCGAGCTTTCGGTAATACCGTAAGTTTTAGGTGGTCATACCGATCCTTCAAATTAATCCATAATTTAAGTGGATCTTTTACGGTTAAATATTCAGTTTTAACCCTTCATGTAGATGATGACGAAGGAAAATCAGGGCCTTCGCTTTATCCTGGTTTGATGCTTCATTTCCTTGTATAATAGTATTTCCAAGACCTTTAGCGTCAAGGTGAATTTCAGCATCAAGGACCCATGATAAATAGTTCATCCTGGTGATGTCAAGTACCACAAATTCAAGTTTTGATAAATTTGACATAGTGAAAACTTAATAAAATATGACTTAACTTAGCGAAAGTTAAGAATAAAATTAGAGCTTCGTGCTGATAACGTGTTATAAAATAAAAGCAATGTAGTAAAATGTAAATAAGAAGAGATAGAAAGAAGGGAGAAGTGTTTTCTTCTTTCACTATGGTGTATATTTCCATTGCAATTACATGCCCTTTTATAGGCATAAAAAGTAAAGATGATGGACATAAAGTAGGAGATTTAATCTTTAAGTTATTCGCAACATGGACATCCAATGTACAAACTATTCATAGGATCCAATGTAGCATTTTAGAAGTTCAAGATAAAATTGATTATATTATTTCTTTTTTACCCTTAATAATTAATTGTATTCACATTTAGTAAAAATATGGATCATTAATAGAGATGACACATAAATTAAAAAAATATTTAATAAGGGTAAAGTAGTCAAAAACTATTTTTTCTTAAGGGGCATGTACAAAAGAATCACCAAACATATTATGAGACGGAGAGAGTATTTCTTTATAGTGCAACAAATATTTGGGACACCTGTACTTCTTCAATCAAGTACAGATAAATAATTACAAATTAAATTCGAAGTGATTTTAAGAGTTTTATGTAGCTCATATTTAGCTTTCTCTATCTTATAATTGATTGAATTCCATCTAACCAATAACAAGATGATAATTTAGTACTAACTTATAACCCTGCCCGGATCCCAAACAAATAAAAGCGCATTAAAAACACATAATCAAATGTTCTAAAATATCCCCAAACATAGTTATTTGCATGCCAAAATATATTCTCTTTATTGCACAGTGTGGCCTTTTTTGAAGCCACTCTTCAAAATAAATTTCGCTTTTAGTAATTAGATGAAACTTTTTCTTTGCAAATTTAGGCCAAAACTTAAATAGTAACCTTAAAAAAGATCATTTGTGCAAATGCCCCCATATGGGCCGTCAAGCCAGTCCAGCGAAATTTTTCTTTTTAGGGAACTTAGTGGGCGTTTGGACGTAAGAATTCTAAAATTTCAAAAAATGGTGAAAAAATATTTTTAACTAAAAATGGTATTTGAAATTTTGAGTTGTGTTTCGACATGAATATAATTTTGGGTTTTTTTTTGAAGTTTTATGAGTGAAAATTTTGAAAAATAGGTTTTTGGAATTTTTCAAATTTTCGAAAATTTCCAAATGTATCTTCAAGTGAAAATTGAAAATTTTATAAACAAACACTAATTTCGAAAAGAAAATAAAAATTTTTTGGAAAAAAAGAAAAAAATTTCTTATGTCCAAACGGGCTCTTAGAATTAGAACAGAATTAGGATTAGGAAACTTGTAATAGAATATGATTCAGAAATTTGTATAGTTTTTTAGCTATACAACATCATTTTTCTAAAAAAAAAATCCTTTTAGGAAACTTAGTGGGCGTTTGGACTTAAGAATTATAAAATTTTAAAAAAGAAGTAAAATATTTTTTAACTGAAAATAATATTTGAAAATTAGAGTTGTGTTTGGACATGAATATAATTTAGAGTTATTTTAAATGTTTTGTGAGTGATATGAGTGAACTTTTTTGAAAAATAGTTTTTTGGAGTTTTTTAATTTTTCAAAAAATTCTAAAATTGATCACCAAGTAAAAACTGAAAATTTTATAAATTTTATGTCCAAACACTAATTTCGGGAAAAAGTAAAAAAATCTTATGTCCAAAGAAACTCTTAGAATTAGAACAGGATTAGGATTAGAATTAGGATTAGGTTTTATTTAGAACAGTATTAGGATTATATTGTACCACTTTTTGGGTTTTATTTCATTAAGAAACTTGTAATTAGAAAAGGATTCGGATTACCGTGGTCTCAAGCTATATATATATTCACATATAAATGAATGTTCATTTAGAGGGGTTTTATGTTTGCAGTCTGATCTATGGCGAGCGACGGAGAAATTCAGACGGTGACCGGTGGCAGCGCAGAAATTATCCCCAATTCGGTGAGGGTATTTTTATGGAATGAGAAGCTGACAAGGAATCAGGTATCTGAATCCGAAGGCTTATGCGTTTTTCTAATTCGGACTCAATTCATAAATACGTTTAATCCTTGTGAATACGGCGATTGTTATTGCAATGTATTGTGGGATGATTGTTGTTCTACGGTCATCCCTTTTGATGTATCAAAGCTGCTGAACAAGGATCCGTCATTAGGTACCATGCTTCTATCTGCTACTCTTCAATTTAACCCCGAAATTGTCAAAGAAATTGGGAATGAAATCTCTTTTTCCCTTTTCACTCGATTTCAGTTTTCTGAAGATTTACAACTACCACCACAGCCGCGACCTATATACGTGATTGCCCTTGAAATCTCACACACTTACTTTGTTGAATATGCATCAGATCTTAATGCTTCGATGGATTTTTTACCAGGGACAATTCCCCCCATCCCATCGTTTTGTAGGTTTGAAAAGGACTGGGATGAGGAAGAGGAGCTTCGTAGCAGCGCACACAGTGTGAGTCCTACTGATTACCAGAACGATCCATATCATGACTACTCTGGTGATGTTCTAGAGTATATCTTTGCGTTAAGGGAATATACTGGCGAAGGTGGAATTTGCCCAACCAAGCCACCCATTGCGGCAGATGTACCAAGAGGATTTGTGGAAGTTAAACCCTCTCTTACGCCTATATTCCACCAACTCAGTGGCAACAACAGCAGTAGCAGCAGAGATCTAATGTACGACGACAATTGCCCTGTTTGCTATGAAGATTTTAAAGATAAGAATGAAGCATTAACGACTTATTGTTTGCACGATTTTCATATTGAGTGTCTCCTGTCTTGGCTATCGATGAATAACACATGCCCAACTTGTCGAGCAGTCTATCCTTTGCATTATTCCGCCTTCTTGAACCGGAAACGTCACCGTGAGCACAATATATTTGTAGGAAAGCAGAGAATTTAGGAAGTTTTCTTTTCTATTGATTTCTGTATATGCAAATCAGTACATGGTATTGTATATATACGAAAGAGAGAGCAAAAAAAGAATATTCTTCCTAACCAACTTGTCACAGCTGTCCTATACATGATTGACTGTGTGATAACTAAATTTGTACTGTGTATAGAATAATTAGAGAAAAGGAAACATTTATCTACAAATACGTGTGTGTATACTAGAAGTTTCTAATGTAACATTTTGTTGTATTCTTTTCCTTTTGGGTTGCATTCTTTTCTATTGGGCTGTATATTGGTAAATTGTTGGGCCTGCTCAGGAAGTCCAAAACTTCTGGTCCGTTTTGCTTTTATAATTTCAGACAAGACCAAACCTATCCTTTCCTTAAACTTATCAAAACGTTTTCCTCTTTCATTCGATGCAACCAAAGCCCTAATTTTTCTTTCATCTTCTTTGGTTCTTTGTCGATGAGAAACAAGAACATTATTGTCAACACCCCCCCTCAAGTTGGAGGGGTGAGAAGAAACCCCTAACTTGCCGATAACCTGCTGATGACGAAGGCCAGTGAGAGGTTTGGTGAAGACGTCGGCAAGCTGAGAAACGGAGGGAACAAAATTGAGAGTAATGAGGCCGTCAAGGAACTGTTGGCGAACAAAATGACAGTCAAGCTCCACATGCTTGGTACGCTCATGGAAAACGGGATTCCGAGCGATATGTATGGCAGCTTGACTATCAGAATGAAGAGAGACCGGTAGAGATGGTGAAATAGTGAGGTCAGATAGCAAACGAACGAGCCAAGTAAGTTCGGCAACAACGCGCCTCATGGATCTATACTCTGCTTCAGCAGAGGAGAGGGAAATTAAAGGTTGTTTCTTTGATTTCCAAGAAACAGGAGGGCCACCAAGGCTAATGAAATAGTCGCTAACAGAGCGACGAGTCTCCGGACAAGAATCCCAGTCAGAATCACAAAAGGCAAGTAGCTGAAAAGAGGGATCAGTTCTAAAAAACAAACCAAGACCAGGATTGGCAAGTAAGTATCGAACACAGTGAATGGCTGCTTGAAAATGAGGTTGTCGAGGAGTTTGCATGTATTGACTCAAATGCTGAACGACAAAGGATAAATCTGGGCGGGTATGAGTCAAAAAATTGAGCTTTCCCAGTAGGCGACGATAAACAGTAGGATCAGGCAAAAGCTCACCAACATCAGCATAAAGTTTAGTAGATGGCTCAAGTGGAGAAGCAGTAGGTTTCTTGTCAAGACAGTCAAATTCAGACAACAATTCTAAGGTAAACTTTCTCTGTGTAACAATTAATCCTTGAGATTCCCTTAAAAGTTCCATTCAAAGGAAAAAATTAGCCTGACCCAAGTCTTTTATTTTAAATTCCGAGTGAAAAAGTCCTTTAGAAGAGCTATCTCAGTAAGATCATCTCCTGTTAAAAGGATATCATTGACATAGGCTGCAAGGATGCATACTCCAGTAGTTGTCTTCTTGAAAAACAGGGAATAGTCATTTAGGGAATGAGAATACCCTTTAAAATTAAGAGCAGCAGTTAGTCTTGCATACCACTGCCGTGAGGCCTGTTTTAGACCATTGAAAGACTTCCTCAATCTGCATACATGATTAGAACTAGGAGGTTGCATACCAACAGGGAATTTCATATACACTTCTTCCTGTAAATCACCATGAAGAAAGGCATTGTTAACGTCTAATTGAAACAATGTCCAGCTCTTTTTAACTGCAACTGCTAATAGGCATCTCACAGTGGTCATTCTGACCACAGGTGAAAAAGTTTCCGTGTAATCAATTCCCTCTCGTTGAACATCCCCCCGAATGACTAGTCGTGCCTTGAACCGTTCGATACTGCCATCTGCCTTGTATTTGACTTTGTAAACCCATTTACAAGGCATTGCCTTTTTCCCTTTAGGAAGAAGAACTACATCCCAAGTGTTGTTGGCCTCCAAGGCCTCAAACTCCCGTGCCATCGCTTTCTGCCAATAGGGGTGTAAACAGGCTTGGGAAAAAGTAGTTGGGTCATGAATATGAGAAGTTGAGTTGAGAAAAGCCTTATTAGAATGAGAAAGAGCAGAAATAGGTAGAGTAGGAGGTGAGGGTGAGGCTGCAAAACAAGTAGAGGTTAGATTAGTTAGTTAAACTGCATTACATACATAATCCTTCAAATAGGTAGGACGATGCACATCTCTGGAGGACCTTCTCAACTGAAAAGGAGAAGGGGAAGATGCAGATGTAGAAAGAGTGAAAGGTACTGGACTGTGAGTCATAGAAGGCAGTGGAGAGGAGGAATAGGAGGAAGAAGGGACAGAGTTAGAGGCAGAACTAGGAAGTAGAGAGTTAGTAGAAGGGGAATTGGGAAAGATAGGAGGAAAAACAGGAAAAGAAAGAGGCTGGGAGGACTAGGAAATAGGAGAGGAAGGTGATACTGGAAAAATAGAAACATAGGGAGTAGAGATAAAAGGAAAAAAATCTTCATGAAATCTTACATTTCTGGAAACAAAAGTTTTCATAGTGAGTAAGTCCAACAGTTTGTATCCCTTTTGGCTAAAAGGATAACCCAAAATCACACATTTGATAGCTCTAGGGTCCAGCTTAGATCTGGATTGAGGGAGAGTAGAAGCATAGCAAAGGCAACCAAAAACTTTGAGGTTATCATAAGAAGGAGCCCTGCCAAAAAGAAGCTCATATGGTGTTTTGTAATGGAGAACCCTAGAAGGGAACCTGTTAATCAAATAAGTAGCAGTCAAAAGACATTCACCCCAATAGGATAAAGGTAGATTGGACTGAAAAAGCAAAGCCCTACAAGTCTCCAAAAGATGTTTGTGTTATTCTTTCGACTACCCCATTCTGTTGTGGTGTGGCTACACAAGAAGTTTGGGTAAGATACTTTGGGAAGATAGGAAATTAGAGGTGTTTAAGCTGGAACCCAACTTTTTAGCATTGTCAGATCCATTTTCACCTTGGTATTGAATTGTCTTTCAACTAAAACCAAAAAATACTTCAAAACAATGAAAACATTACCTTTTTGTTTTAAGAAGACATGTCCATGTACCCCTACTAAAATCATCAACAATTGTTAGAAAGTACTTGTAACCATCATGAGTTGTGGTTTTATAAGGGCCCCAAGTATCCTTATGAATAAGTTCAAAATTCGATTTAGCTGAGATTGTACTAGTAGGAAAAGGAAGCTTAGACTGCCGAGCTTCTGAACAAACATCACATGGATCAGTAAAAGTAGATAAGGAAGATAATGAAAAACTGTAAAGATTCTTCATACTAGAAATAGACAAATGCCCCAATCTCTTATGCCAAAGGCGTACATCAGATAATCTCTTGGAATTGGACTGAGAATTAGAACAGGAGTAGTACTAGAATTATTACAAACAGACTTAGAAGCTAAAGTTCTAACTGAAACTGAACTAGGAAAAACTGAAACTGAGGCAAACTTGAATGGAGCATCACTAGGTTTGATTGGAATAGACTTGAGAACATATAATCCTTCTTGAACTTCACCAAGAACCACTGGCCTCTTCATTGAAGGGGCCTGCAAGATTGCACCAAGAGAATAAAAAATTAACAAACAATGTAATTGAGTAGTGAATTTGTGGACTGATAGAAGATTAAATCTGAATTGAGGTACAAAAAGCACATTGTGGAGAGTAAGATCACAGGCAAGATATGAACACTACCTTTATGAGTAACTTTGAGTTTTTGAGAATTAGGCAATTTAACATACAATGTTGAGGACAGAGGCATGGTGTTAAATAAGAGTGAATGATCATAGGTCATGTGTTCTGAGGCTCCAGAATCAAGAACCCATGAGAAAGAGTCAGTGTGAGATAGTAGTGAAAAAGGGCAAGGGTCTAATTTAGGTGTGATTATACCAGCACAATTGGCAGAAACTGTAGCATCAGACATTTGATCACTCTGTTGTCCAACCTTCACTTACTGGAGAAGCCGAAAGAGCTGAGAAAATTGTTCTTGTGTGATGACATTTCCAGAAGAGGTTCCCTCCATGCTTTGAACTTGCTGCACAATGTGTTGTTCAGCTGCAACTGGAGCTGCATTGCTGTGAACATGAGGCTGATACTTCTTTGATTTGGTAAATTTGAAATTTGCTGGGAATCCAATCAACCTGTAACAATTATCAACAACATGATTTGTCATTTTACAGTAAGTGCAAAATTTCCTCCCTTTGGCTTATCAGAGTTGTGTTTCATAGGTCCAGCAGTAGAATTAAACTTCTGAAAACTGTTTGTCCTTTGATTGTTGTTAAACTTCTGATTTGTAACCAGGAAAGTAGCTTCAGATGGACGAGCAGCAACATGGACTTCTCTTTGTTTCTCATCTTGAATAAGCAAAGAATAAGCATGGCTAACAGTGGGAAGAGGGTCCATCATTAGAATACTGCTCTTAACACTTGAATAGGCTTCATTAAGCCCCATCAAAAACTGGATCAGCCTGCCATCTTGATGAGAATTGAGGGTTTTCTTCTTACCACCACAGGTGTACTTACACGAGCAATGGTCAAAGGTATTTAGGGCATCTAACTCATCCCAGATCTGTTTGACCTTTGTGAAATATCCTGCTATATCTGAAGCACCTTGGACATCATCATTGAGTTCCCTTTGGAGCTGGTACAGCTGAGCTCCATTACACTGCCCAAATCTGGCTTCTAACTCCTTCCATATTTCTCTGGCAGTTTTGGAGTAGAGAACAGATTCAGCAATGCTCTTAGAGAGTGAGTTGAGAATCCAGGAGATTACCGTGTCATTACATCTGCTCCAAGACTTGTAGTGAGCAGAAACATCAGCTGGCTCAGTAGAAGACCCATCAATGAACCAAGCTTGTTCTTGGCTAAAAGAGTGATGACAATAGCCCTGCTCCATCCTGCATATCCTTTCCTATCAAAAGGAGAGTTCACCAGAATCATTCCAGGTGAATCAGATGGGTGTAGGTAATAAGGATTGGAGGAATCAAGCAAGCTTGAAGAAGAGGTACCAGAAAGTGGAGTGGAATGATCATCAGCAGAGGGAGCCATTTGAAAAGAAAAAACTGAAAATCTGAAAAAAAGAGACTTTTTGAGCACCTAAAGCTCTGATACCATGTAGGAAAGCAGAGAATTTAGGAAGTTTTCTTTTCTATTGATTTCTGTATATGCAAATCAGTACATGGTATTGTATATATACGAAAGAGAGAGAAAAAAAAAATATTCTTCCTAACTAACTTGTCACACCTATCCTATACATGATTGGCTGTGTGATAACTTTTTGTACTGTGTGTAGAATAATTAGAGAAAAGGAAACATTTATCTACAAATATGTGTGTGTATACTAGAAGTATCTAATGTAACATTTTGTTCTATTCTTTTCCTTTTGGGCCGCATTCTTCTTCTAATGGGCTGTATATTGGTAAATTGTTGGGCCTGCTCAGGAAGTCTAAAACTTCTGGTCCGTTTTGCTTTTATAATTTCAGACAAGACCAAACCAATCCTTTCCTTAAACTTATCAAAACGTTTTCCTCTTTCATTCGATGCAACCAAAGCCCTAATTTTTCTTTCATCTTCTTTGGTTCTTTGTCGATTAGAAATAGGAACATTATTGTCAACATCTTGGAGGCAAACTGTAAGCATCATAAACACATCATATTGGGGGCTATTGTTTAAAAGTTGTACTGATCTCCCCTTCCATTTTATTTGAACTTGTTTGATTCGGCAAGAGTTTAGTGAAAAAAGAAGAAGAGACTTTTGGAACATGACAGAGTATTGTATTCTATTTTCTTGTATGGTTATTGCAGATTCTCTGTTCTTTTTCGGGATTATATTGACATATTGGAGAAGGTGTTGGTTAACGTTTAAAAATATCATATTTTTCAATTTCCTTGTATAATTGTTGCAGATTGTGTTGGCTAACTTTTAAAAATTATCATATTTTTCAATTTCCTTGCATAATATTTGTAGATTGTGTTGGCTAACCTTTAAAAAATTGCATCTTTTCTTTCTTGTATATTTATTGCACATTCTTTATTCTTTTGGTATCATTAAATATCAAGTTCAATTTGAAAACAATGTAACTATTCATGTGCTGGAAGGCATTCCATTGCTGGCTGTTTTGTTTCTCTCAAATTCTTAACTAGACAGCAGGGACAAAGTCTGCACAGAAATATGGTATAAGCATTCTTCTTATTCTTCTTGCTTTTTTTTTTCAAGGTTAGTGAAGTTCTTCACTACTTGTATCACAGACGCCTGTGGATGTTATGAACATGAGCTGCAGTCTCCCATTTCCACCAGTGCTCTGTACATAATCAGATGGTCAATTATATGCTCACTATTTGTTGTCTTGTACTCACCAGCTGCATAAATTTAAGACGTCCAATAGTAGGGTTCCATCAGTACTCATGTAGTCAAGCACTTTGATACACAATTTTCACTTTTTACCTTGTAGTGAGGGATATAGTAAGGCTGGTATGGTATTTTGAGATTTGGATTTTCGGTGAAATTTGGTTGACATTCTTGGAGATTTCCGAGAGGTTGAGACCATCATCGCACTGTTCCAAAAATATTGCCTCAGTTTTCAGTACTGAGGAAATCATTTTGAAACAGTGGTAAGACCTAACCCTGATGTAGGGTTGCTTACGTATCTTGCCAAGGCAAGAATAAACGTTGTTCGGGCTAACTATTTGAATTATGAGATCTGTATGGTTGTCATGAATGAGCGATTGTTCTTTGAGAATGAAGTGTGACTAAGAATGAGAATTTTTGGGTGGGTGGGTGGAGATGGGTAGCTTTTGAACAAGAGATCAATAGGAAAGGAAAATGATTGTGTTAAAAGGAAAACAAAACGTAGTTCTCAGCTTTTTTAACCTTTGTTTCTTTAGTAAGTATGACATTATTCTGTTGTAACTTGCAATTTGTGATACGATTTAAAATGGGAAAGGTTGAAGCTACGGGTAGAGCTTCTTCCTCACATACTGTAGTTGCGGAATGAGAAGAACCTTGGCACTTCCTTCGTTGAACTCTTGGGTCTTGGCTTCCTTGTTTTGAACTTTCAATGTAGCATGTTGTAGACCTTCTTTCCTTGATCTTTTAAAGTATCCCAAGCTCATTATGGAGGCATTTCCTCGTTGAACTCTTGGGTCTTGGCTTCCTTGTTTTGAACTTCCAATGTAGCATGTTGTAGACCTTCTTTTCTTGATCTTTTAAAGTATCCCAAGCTCATTATGGATGGATGAAGGCTTCCAAGCTTAGGGAGAAATTCAAAAATAGCCAGATTTACAAGTGGTCATTCAAAAATAGCCACAGTTTCAAAAGTAATCGAAATTTAGCAACTTTTCATGTAAAGATAAATCTGAACAAAAATACTGTTCAAAATCCGAAAAAATATTCCAGTATAATATACTGAAATTCCATCATAAGTATACTAGAACTCCAGTATATTATACTGGAACTTTCCGCGTGTTGGAGTTCCAACATAATATGCTGGAAGTTCATACACAGGTGCACCGATCTTCAGTATATTATGCTGGAACTTTCCATGTTGCAGCAAAATAGTGGCTATTTTTCAATGACTTTGCAAACGCTGGCTATTTTTGAATGACCAATCCGAAAACTGGCTAGTCCGTGCTATTTTTACCCAAGCTTATGGTAGCTACCTTTGGTGCTATCAGTTATATACACAGAAGATGGAGTGCCACATTAATCATCATAAATCACGCTCTTATGATTTTAGGGCAACTTTAACCTTTACCCAATTTCCCCATTTTGGCAGATTGGGGATTTCCCCGTTTTGGTGATAACTTGCTTTAGCCATTCCCTTATTTTTCCCGCCAAAAGAGAATATTTTTTATATTGTTCTCTCTTCTATATTATATTATTATCTTTCAATTCAATTTTATATTTTAATTTCCATTAAACAAATTTCTCTTTTATTTTCATTAATTTGTAATTTTCATTAAGACAATTTCATAAAATTTTAAATAATATAAATTGTAAGCAATTATTATAGATTAACTAATAATTCAAATAAAAGTGAAATTACTGCGATACAAGATTAATTGAATACATATTACATAATGATAAAATTCATTCGAAATACTACATAAATATTCAACTTCAACCTCTAGTATTCTCTCATAAATGATCTATTAATGCATTACGAAGTGCAAAATGAGCATCTTTGTCCTTAATTCTTCTATGTTGAGCTAAAAATTCTTGAAATCGTTGATTTTTATCTACTGCCATTTCTACTGTTGGAGGTGGACCTTACAAATCATCTTGAATTGGTGCATTAAGATCATGCTCATTCTCGATTATTATGTTGTGCAGTATAATACATGTTGTCATTATATCATGTAGCACTTCTTTTTGCCTAAAACGTGACGGTCCTGCAACAATCCATCAGAAGGTTGAGATTAGAACGAAATCCACTCGTCGGCTGAGATCAAAATAAAATCTATCCTCTTCTCTTCTACTAAATTATTGTGTCTACTGAAATCTCTATATATTGAGGTGCCAATATAACCTTCTATAACCACAATTGGCTTTTATTTTTCTTTTAATCGATAATTCACTTTTCCTCTAATCAGTTGAAAAAATGTCTATTCCATTTGCAGGATACTCTGTAAACGACGATATTCTATTATGTAGAATGCATTTAGATGTTTCTCAAGATCCAATAACAGGCGTCAATCAATCTAGAGATAAATTTTGGGGTCGAGTCATAGATGCATACAACAATACAAAGGAAGATTTTTGGGAGAGTCGCACCAAGAAAACATTGCAATACCGAATGCAAATGATTGAGAAGGCAGTAAGAAAATTAAACGGATGTGTACATCAAGTAGAAAATTTGCGTCCTAGTGGTGCTTCTGAGTAGGATATTGTGAGTTTATTTTGTAGTTACTTATACTTTATATATATATATTTACTTACTATTTTTTTTTAATTTTTATTTTTAATATTGCAGCTTACACAAGCAAAAACTTTACTTATGCAAGATCCGAACTTCAAAAACGGTTTTAAATTTGATCATGCGTAGGCTATAATGAAGGATTTTGAGAAGTTTAACGATGGTGATTTTGGAAGGAAAAAACCAAGAAAGCAAGGCTACGCTAATATATCATCGGAGTCTGAGAATCCTACCCCTGATTCACCCTATCTATCATCTCCTAACTTATCATTATTTTCACTAAATTTAAATAAGGATGTTGCAGGTGATTTCACATCATCACAACGGCCTAGTGGGGTGAAGAAAGCAAAACTGAAGAAAAAAATTGATGAAGATTATATGAAGATAGTCCAATAAGAAAATAATTGGATGATTGAGGCGATGAATAATGCAACCGAGACAAAAAAAGTTTTGACTGTTCAAAAAGAAAAACTAAGAGTAAAAGAAATGAAAGAAGAAAATAAAGTTTTAATGATGGATGTGGATTCTATTGTTGATTCGACTCGTCGTGAATTTATACGACAAGAACAACAATCAATAATGTATAAAAGAAGTCTATATCCACAGTCACAACCACAACAATCCTCGGCCCCATTCACTCAATACTATAAGAATTTTGATGTATCTGGGAACAACATACCTCCCTACTAAGTTATTATGCTATTTACCGTAGTTTCAATTTTTATGTATTTTAATTTAATGTATTTTCAATTTTTATGTATTTAATTTTAATGTATTTTTATTTTATGTATTTTCAATTTTAGCAACATCTAATATTCGAACCTTTCAATTTTAACAACATCTAATATCTTATAACTTCACCATTCATCTTTTGAGATGATTATATATTTTTTGTACAATTATAACTTATAATAAAATTAACTTACAATTTTTAAAAATAATAAATGCACGAAAATTTAATTATCAAAATTATACGCCAAAGTTAAAATATAAAATTAATACTATAAAGATATTACATAAACATAATTAGGTATATATAAAGAGATAAATTGAAGGAGTTAAATAATAAAATATGCATGAATAGTAATGAGAGATGAATAGTGTCCCGCATATTTGGAGGAACACTATTCATCCC